CTACAACAACATATATATGTAGGAGTTATTTCTACTGTCATTTACATCGTAAAAGTATCTCCTCTTCAACTTACCAATGACAATCCTGATGGTATCCTATATGCGTTCGTAAGCTTGCTAAAATACTACTGCGTTGATGTCCGCTTGTAAAAGCTGAAATCCAACAAATGCTTTGATCCATGCTACATCTCCGTGTTGGAAAAGCCCTTTCTTCTCCGTTCATGATAACATCTTAACATATTCTACGCAAATCTGTCACATCTACTCTCAAACAAGACGCCAACTTCAAACGAAAACGCGTTCTACGATGCGTCTACACTCCATCCCCATATCATTGGCGTTGACTGGTCCGAGGTCGATCTTGTTCGCCTGTTTTCGGCGTCTTGACGCCCGCGCAATGCGAGCTTGTACCTCTGCACTCGCCGAGATATGGCCACCTGTGTAGCCACCGAAACGATCTGAATAAGTCGTTCCTTGAAGACTCCTTTCGGAGCCATCGTTCCTCCGTCCCTTCCTCCCACGGCATGTGTCGCAAGTTCATCGATGAACTCGTAACCCTCCTCTCCAAGGCGGCCAAAGCTTTCCACGGCTAAGGTGGTAAGTTTCAATTGTTTTTCTCTCTTATATTATTCTGGTCAAGTCTTCATGGCATAGACTATATATTTTCTGGGAAAGACGTCTTTTGGTCGAGATATCGGGTGTTAGCTAAGTTTTCAGTGAGAAACTGTTGCGAGCAGGGGGGATGTTAGATATACTCGCAGCAGTATCTGGTCGTGAGGATCCCAGGGGGATACGTCTTGGGAATTTCGTGTATTGAAGGGTACCACGGGCGCAGTCACGGGGACCCTTTGGGCGTGGTCGGTGCGATGATGAGGCTTGCGTGCGTGCTGCGCACTTCTTCCCTCTCTCTCTCCACCACCACCACCGTCTCTCTCCAATCAAGATTCCTTCTCCTACTCTCTCTCCAACTCTCTCTCAACCACTCTCTCTCGGCCTAACGCGGCCGACTACCCAGTGCCCCAACGTAACGTCGAGAACGTGCTTGCTTGCTGCACCCCGCGTAGTTTACCTTTCAAATGGCACACTGTCCATGCGGCACTCCCACGCCTCGCCCACTACCTACCGGAAGTAATATGGCTCTCTCGCTACGAAGTCTGTGAGCGAGTTTGTCGAACGTGTGTTCGTTCTCCCAAGAGGGCTCGCGGAACCAAATTACGGACGTACTACCACAAACTGAATCAAGGACCAGATCCGGGGGGGCGGGGGGTCGGGGGTTGGGGCTGTTTTCTACCGTATGCGGTGTTTCAAGTTGGATTTAGTATAGTATAGTATAACATATACATCGTCTATTGTATTGGATGTAGTATGGGTGTCCATATGTATATAATAATCTGTGTATAATAGGCATTATGATTATACAGTGACGTAGTGCCATAGCCGTCCGCCGGTCGGTATAGTGCCGATCAAATCTCAGGACACATGATAATGATGAATGTCCACACTCCATCCACCGCCGCCGCTGTGTATATATATCCATCCATCCCTGTTCGAATAGTGCCGGTGGCCCGGTATAGTGCCGGTACAACCTCTAGACACAACATACCGGCGCTAGACCGGGCCTACTACAAAAATACTGCATGCATTACACACACACGTGTGAGTCTAACAAAAAGAATTGTACTTGTATGTATTTACACCATGATACATACTAAAGCCAATACAACAAGGAATATGTAGACTTTCCTATACACTACTTAATCCTTTACAATAAGCGAATTGAACAAACTGGATGAAGCGCCCGAAAAAATTGGGGGGGGTGGGGGGAGGGGGGTAGCAGTACGTCCAGAATTTGGCTATGCGAGCCCTCTTGGTTCTCCCTCAAATATGCGATGATCACGCAAGTCAATAGGAGGTCTACGTGCAAAGAACGAGGTGGTATGCAAACCCACAACAAGGTTGTAGAGCAAAGGCTGTATTGGGAATGATGATGCTCATTCATCTTTACAGCTTCTTCGAAACATTTTCCCAAGATATCAATCACGTCAGCGCGTACGGACAGCAATCACATTCCTTGCCGCCCATTGGTCTTTCCCGCAGCACACAGACTAGAAGACCATCATCATCCCTGTCTTTACCGCAATGACGATGCACGTGTCCTCCCCCCGTCTTCAACCCGACGTACTGTGTCCCGCATCATCGACGACAACCCAGCCGGCGAGGACACCGTTCGACACCGGGGGTCACTCGGTGGTGGTGTCGGTTGAGAGGTACCGGGTGCCCACTAAACATCCTTTGCCAGTGAAACTAGTTGTTCAGTGATTTTCTTAACGGCAACTAGTGAAGGGCTATGTACTGCCGTACCCGGGACGATGCAAATCGATCCGGTGGTGGTACGCTCCCCCCGTCAATGTCAGCACCACGGAAACCCCGGTGAAACCGTTCCATCCCCACACGATAATGCGGGTTGTTCACTCGGTGACCAAAAATACGGTGTTCGTTGCGGGTGACTTCAAGAATGACCCATGCATGCGGAAACAACGTTAGCAATTCCGGGAGGGAGGATTCAGACATGACCTTGCGTAGCCCCCCCTCCCTACCTTCAGCCACCGAAAACACGAGCACAAGCACGTTGCAGAATGACATAACACCCGACGGGACCCCCAAAAACCGATCAAAAACCCGCCAATGTTTGTCGAAAGGGATGTACCTCGAGCAAGCCGACAGCAGCAGCAGCACCGCAGAAAATGACAACAACACCAGGGTACATCGCTTCTTTAAGAGGAGGCTGGACTTCTTCAAACGCCAACCGCGAAGAAGCAAAATCTGGCATCTCTCGAACACAGAAACGACCTAAAACATGGAAAAAAAAAAACGCGACTGGGTGTAAAATCCGCGGTGGTTCGAACGCTCATGCTTCACACACGACACTTGTGAACCACACTTTCCACCGCTGTCGCATTCACTTCCTCGTCAGAAAAATAATTCGCTTCAAGGGAAACTGGCTTACGTGTGAAGAGGCGTCGAACCTGTAAACACAGCAACAGCAGTTGCATCTATATAGTTCGCTCGCAGAGGAATTGGCTGCGGTGGAAAAAAAAAACTCGTAGGGAAGCTGATAGCCTACGTATCGGGCGAGAGCGGGAGCAACTGTTGGTATAAAACCTTGCTCGGAATGGAAACCGTCCTTGGTTGTGCCCGGCAAAGGCCACTGCGGTGTGCACTCCTTACGTGACTACCAAGGCGCGGTTGTGCTACAGCGGTACTAGCACCAATGACTGACATCGAGTAGTCCAGCACCAAGGAGCTCGTGAGGGGGAACAAGAGACCACCTGCGCTGAGACGCTGAGTTCGTATTCTCTTGCCTTCCTCCCTCTGATACTTTAGTATGGAAGTTTGTTGTCGAAGACAGCATAAACCGGAGAGTTTGTTGTGAACGGAATAATTCGGAACATCTCTCACATTCAGGTACCCCTTCGCAGAAGCAGCAGCAGCAGCAGCAGCAGCAGCAGCAACAACAAAATAAAAAATATTGAACACCGACTAATCAGGACCAAAAAGGGAGAATGGTACTTCTACACGACATGCGATAGCAGCAGCAGTAAACTTAGGTAAGTCGATCACAACTCCTCCCCAGCGTCGGCACCAGCGGCGGCCGCCTAGTCGGTGGCCTTGCTGTCCGCGCCCTCGTCTTCCGCGGGGGCGTCTTCCGACGTCCAGAGGGTGAGGTTGTCCCGCAGCAGCTGCAACACCAAAAACACCACGTACACACACGCACGCAGGCACACATGGAACATTGTACGGGAGCAACAACCTTGAGACCCAGGGGGAGAAAAAACAAGCTGTTCCGCAGCAGCTGCAACAAAAAAACCACGATATCCTGGCTTCGGCTGGGCTTGAAATAACCCTTTTGCTGTACTCCACTCTTTGCATCAGTGGCTTCCTAGATTCGAGCAGATGCATTTGTGTAGCTGAGATGTGTGTCTACGTGAAAGAACATGTGGAGAGAGTCGTATTGGCATTCGCATCGAGCGCAATGCGCATTTTTCGAATTTCGGCCCCCTTCCAGGGACCTTGATTTTTACCCGCTGGCACTGACGTCTTTTAATTGGTCAGCCGGGCGCGGTCGATGCTAATAATAAAAACACACACGCAGGCACACAAAACAAGATGCGAGAGCAACAACCTTGATTGACATGAAAAAACATGAGGCAAGCAGACACACATTCTACGGGGGCAACCTTGAGCGAGAGAAGAAATACCAATAGGCGGCAAAAAAATACAGCAAAATCAAAGGGGAGAGATGCTCAAGAATGAAGAAAGAGCAATGGAGAAATACCAAAGTGAGATCGACGAGCACGGCAACTACTACACGCGTTCATGTATGCGTTCATCATTGTCGTGGTCTGTCTGACTTTGTGCGGTTCAACAACAAAATAAGCGACGGTTTCATGAATCATGGGACCCTCCTTCGTTGGTAGGTTGATAATTTCTCATTTTTCATTTTTCAACAATAATTCAATGTCCAAATCATGGAGCCTCCGAGGGGGGTCCGTGGATGAGACCATTAGAACAGGTTGCCTGCAAGAGGCGCTTGGAGAGAGACCCAACCCACTCGCGAAAAGTCTTCCCAACCTGCCGTGCCAGGAGCCCTCACTCATTTCAAGCCGAAAAGTTACATCGCCAACTATTCCGCATGATGAGATGGTTGTTGTTGTTGTTGTTGTTGTTGTTGTTGTTGTCTTCACACTCAAAAACGTTCCGTTCTCTCTGCCCAGTACCTCCTTCTGTCCCTAGTAGTCTGACATGGTGGCCCTCCTATACCATATGTTTATGGATACCATACCATACGCTACCATACCTGCATGATGAGGGTGGAATCTTTGTAAGACTCCTCCGAAAGCGTGTCCAGTTCCGCGATGGCGTCATCGAACGCCTGCATTGCGGGCAGGCATCATCAAACAACGTTTTGCCAGCGTACTAATGTCTTCCACACATACTTGCGAGTTTTCGAAAAAGACACAAAGAAATTTAGTCAGCTCAGCGGCCGTCGTCACAACACAAACACAGCAAACCCTACCTCAATGGCGGCTTAGGAAAAATACACCCAGCCTGTGCTGAATCATTTGAGACACAGCAGCAGTGTAGCGATGTGAGCCTTTTGTCGACATCCTACCAGCAAACGACTCTTCAAAAGACATTATCGATCTCCAGGACTTAAAACGAACAAGTTAACCAGCAGCAGCCCACCAGCCCACCAACCGCTAACATTTGGGGAACGCGATTTTCATTACACGTGCGTCGTAGAGACTCTGATGCTGACACCAGTTGCTGACATGATGTGATGCCATACTGACTCTGTCCCCGTTTGTGCATTGTTTGCATGGCTATGCACGTCTGTCCGGAGAGTTGAAACTACCTTGAACCGGGGGACTAAAGCGTAACAATCACCTCAGAGAGTGCTTCATCTCAAGCTCACGGCCAACGACCTTGTGGTCTGCCAGGATTACTGCTCCCTTGCACTACTGGTGCATACAAAAAGAAAACGCACACCACGAAAAACCAATGTTATACAATGTATGGAATGTATGGAACCACCTATATACCTTCTTTGCGAGGCTGCAGGCACGCTCGGGCGAGTTGAGGATTTCGAAGTAAAAGACGGAGAAATTGAGGGCAAGCCCAAGACGGATGGGGTGCGTCGGGGCCATGTCCTGGTTGGTCAGGGTGGTTGCGCTCTGGTAGGCCTGTAGGGCCTTCTCCGCCGAGCCCTCCCTGGCCTCCCCCTGCTGGAACTCCGTGAGATATCGGTGGTAGTCTCCCTGCATCTTGTAGAAGAACACCTATGATAAATAGCACGTGTGAATGGGGGGGGGGCGGGGGGCGCCCTATTTAGTGCGTGAGGTTTGGGGAAATAATCTCCGTGGGTACAGTAGCACACCTCATGTGCAGTTTGTGCGAAAATGAGGGGGTGGGGGTGGGGTGGGGGGGTGCCCTAGTGGGTGAGGTTTGGGGGAACGAGAGTAAAGGTATTGATGTGTTTCTTTGATTGGCGTTGACCGCGCGAACAGACCTACCAATGAAAATGCTTGGAGGCATAAGAGCGAGACAAAGATTATGCTGCTCGAAGCCAAACAAGTACGGAAGAGGAGAAGATGTCACCGCTGAAGGTCTAGGTAAGGGCGGCCACTAAATGCGAAAGCGCCACCACGAGACGACATCGCAACGACAGCTAAAGCAACACCATCTACCACAATTAACAATAACAAAAAAACCCTCTCGAGCATCTAGAAAGCATACCTTGGCCTCGTTGGTCTGGCTGTTAGGGAGGAGGTTCTCGTCGATGATGGTGAGAATGTCCCCGCAGATCGTCTCCAGCTCCTTCTCGATCTTAGCCTTGTACTCGCCGATAAGCTTGAGCTTGTCCGCCTGCCCACACAAAACACCAACAAGATGAACACGGCCCATCAGCGCGATCATCATATCAACAGCAGTACTGTAGCTACCTCCAGAAGGGAAACTCCGCTCTAGGCGTTTCTGCCGTGGGCGTTGTATCGTCAATTGATGTTCATGGACAAGAGAGCCATGTGCCCTTCGTTCACCCTATGGGGCAGCCTCCCCCGAGTGTGCCCCCCGATGGAACAACAAGGATATACAGTACAGTACATGTACATGTACCATCAACACCTACAACTACGACGTCCGAGTCCCCAGACCAAGAACCATGTCCGAGCCCCCAGCAGAGCCCTGTCTACTCAGTGGAAAATGCTTTGCTGGAAGCTCGGACATGGTGCTTGGACTGGGGGGTCGGACATGGTAGTTGTAGATGATGATGGTACCCTCTTGTTGTCCCATTCGGGGGGCCTCTGTTGACTTCCAGGGACACAATACACCCCTCTCCTGTCTTCCCGTCTACCTGCCACTATGGGGGCTCAGGGGTCTAACCCCACCCCCCCCGGTGTTTGCCATCGGGGTTGGGTTTCGTCGCTTGGCAACGACGTTGTAAAAAAAGTCCCCCCCTCGGTGATTGCCATCGGGATTGGGTTTGCGTCTCTTGGCAACGACGTTGTAAAACAAGCCAATTCACTTCGTGAACTCGGCAACCAGGTTACCGTTTGTTTTTTTGTACCTCTGTTTTGTTTTTTGGCGGTAACCATAATGGTCGAGTAGATCATGTTGTGCGGGGTCGAGAACCCTCACTCCGCGCAAGGGGGATGATCGCACCACGTTGTGTTAAAATGGTCAAGCACCCTCG